CAAATTCCATTAATATAATGAAATTATTAAAAGCAAATAGAGCAAATATTATATATTACAAACAATACATTTTTAATTTACTTAAACAAAAATATAAGAAATAAGAATTAAAATTATAAAAATATGAATTAGAAATTATGAGTTGATCAACGTTCAAAACTTAAACATTAAAAGGAAACATAAATTTATTGATAGTGTTCTAAACAAATCTTTTAAGCATAAACACAACCACGTGAGACATTTGCAAATAATATATTTATTTAGCTAATAGGGTATCTCAACGTCACATGTTTAACTCAACTGGTTGGGCATAGTTTTTGTGGAAATTGATAGATCATTTGGGATTCAACATCTTCAATGTGCAACGAGGCAGACTCAAATATTCAACCAGTCACTCAGACAGTTAGGGAGTGGGTAGGGAGGGGGTGTTGCATGAGGGTGTAGTTGGGGAATGCATACAGGCAATCGAAACGTGACTCCTGCGCTCACTTTGAGAACTTTGTCTGACCCCACGGCCCTTTGCCAATAAAGCACCAGTCGAAAACCTACACGTACAACTTTTGTATGTTTTCAAGAATGTCTATGTGTGTGTGTGTGTGTGTGTCTGTGTGCATAAATACCTTTTTCACTGGTGCACATTTTCATAAATTTTTAAGTAGCCTAGTGCAGCGGGGGCCGTGTTTGCTTTTTGACAACGTCGTTTAACCTGACACATTTCATTTATTTTGCAGCCAAACGCAATGGTTTGTTGCCAGAGACGGGCAATGTTTTGGGCACTTGTTGGCCATGTTAACATGAAAGTATTGCAAGAGCTTAGAGAACACGTTTTTACCATACGGTTGGATTGATTTATTTAAATCGATAACAAAATTGAATTTTCAGAAAATATTATTTAATATTTGTTTCTGTTTTCTACTCAATATGTATCTTTAAAATTTGAGTGAAATAATAAATTAAAAATATTTTTAAATAGTCACAGCTTTGGTATAGCTTTGGTATTTATATATATTTTGCAAGTTTTAAGTGTGCATGTAAGTTCGCCTTTCGAATGCATTCAAGCGTTACAAAAATGAGTCTAAATCTTAACGGTCCCACCCGACTCTAATGCAAAGTTTTTGGGGCTCACTTGGCAACTGGCATTCAAGCAGCGCAACTCGAGAATTATGGTAAATGCATTGCCTTGGATTAGCATAAGCGTGTCCCCAAGAATTCCTCTGTTTGCCAAAGAACAAAAAAAAAAAATGTCGAAGCGGAAACCAAATGAAATTAATGAAGCATAACAACGAATCGAGCAAGCGTACAAACTTTCGGCTACTTTGTTTGAGTTACGTTTGAGCCAATATACAATACATACAAAAAGACGAGAAGAGGCATTGAGGAGGCGGGCAAAAATGTCCAGGCCAAAACCACAGCCCAGTCAGGCCTTTTATGTAGCTTACAACGGCGCAACTGTTGCTCTGGCCCTAACCAATATTTATGGCTTATCAATTTGCGGGTTACTTGCAAAAAGGGAAAACTGAGGGGGACATCAGCAACAGAAGGCAGCATTTCCTTGGGGGCGTAGGAGCGTAGCAGATTCAATTAGCAGATGCTCGAAATCTTTGCCTTGTCTTTAATAAAGGACGCAATGTTTGTAAATAGTAGCTGCCCAGGGCAAAAATTGCGCATACGCAGCGTAATCGATTTAATATATTGTTTATCGACTCAACATAATAATTTCCAGAGCCGCATACAGTCCGAAGGATATACATACATAAATTTTAATTAAATTCCATGCCTGGCGTTAACTTTAATAATTTTGTAACTTTTTCTGCTATTGTTTTTGCTGCTTTTTGCTGCTTTTTGCTGCTGCCTCTGTCAGCGCCAGCAGCATTTTCGTCACGTTCTTCTTCTTCTTCTTCTTACCACTGCTGTCCAGCGGTGCGGCAGCGTGTAAATAAATAAATGTGCAAAAGCCAGGGGGCTGGGGGTTGTAAGGGGCTTGGTTAACTGTTTGTCTTGCTAATTAAAGTTGCCCTTAAGAGCAGTGTGTGTGTGTGTGTGTGTGTGTGTGTATCTGGCAGATACTTTGTGCAAATCAAAGTGTGTCTCCCAGCAGGTGAACAACACATAGTCAAATATTGGGGCAGAGAAGAGCTGGGTGTGAATGAGACAATTTGTTGTGCTTTAATAATGTTAATTGCTTCTCGGCTGGCCAACTTTCTTTGAGGAGCCTAATTGATGTGCGCATCTTCTTTTTTGGCTTTGGGCTCGGCAATATCTTGACCTAAGCTAATTAGCTGATGCTTGGCATCTGCTTTTACACATGTTTATTTCAGCAGGTAAACCTCATTGTTTATTTACAAGTTGTGCGAGTGTTGTCTTATTTGTTTATTTGCCAAATCGCCTGTTTTTGTTGCTGATATCAAAACTTGTGTTTATTTGATTATGATTCTGCTTCCAGGTATTTAGCTTGAAATAGAATATGAGTATTGATTAACAGCACAAATGTGATTTATCAAATATTAGAGATGTGATCGAGACCACTAATTATTCTTAATGTAATTTATTAGTCGACAAATTAACAATTTTAAACTCAGACTTAATACACAATCCTATTATTCCAATTCATTAACTTAGCTTGTTCTCAATTATTCAAATTCTCAGGTAATCTGCATAATCCACAGCTAATTTGCTTGCTTAAACCCTAATCCAATTTAATCTACAAATAAAAGCAAGCAACTATTGAGCTATCATTTCAGTAGCGTGCTGATTCTGTCAGTGAATTAATTAAGTACATTTTGCGATTGCAGCAAAAAAAAACAAAAAAACAAAAAAACAGAAAGAAGAAGCAGTCAATGTCAATACTTAAATTGCCAAAAGTGGCCATCTGAGCAGCTGGTGTGCTTATCGACTGTGTGCACTTATGTAATTGAAAGTGTCACTGGCCATTGAAGTCATAAAATGTAAAATCAATGAAGCCAAATGACGTTTAAAGTTGCAAACAGCAGCTGTCGCAGCTGAACGATACATATGAAAAGTGAATGAGTTGCCGCGAAATCGAAGACAACAATTGAGCGACAGCAGCGATGCGGAAGCGAAAGCAAAACCAAATCGATTCACCGTTGCGAACTTTCTTGCCACACTCGCCACATCGATGGGTAGCATGCTGCGTATACGTAATATTTGTGTATACATTTGCTGACAAGCGTCTGACATCTTTGCTTCCTGTTTATTAGTTATTATAGCCCATCGAATCCACCGAATCTGACTGACTGTCAACAGTGCCGACGTCGTGTGTGGGCGTTAACTTTATTTTGCACTCTTAGGTTGGTTCTGTGCCGTCTGCCAGCTAACCCAGTGGGCTGTGCAGGGTTAACTTGAACTCTGCTGCCAATGCAAATTCAGACTGGCAGCGTTGTCTTCTGTTTTATCTGCTGCACCCATCTGCGCCTGCCAGCTTGTCTCGACTCGACTCGCATCCAAGTCACAGACGGCGTCGGAGTTGGAGTTGGAGTAGGAGTCGGAGTCGAAGTCAAAGTCGAAGTGGCAGACTCGGTTTCTTGGTGGAGCTCAGTGCGTGTCTGCAACTTTGTTTTAACAAGTGATAAACTTGTCGCTTGTCGTCTGCCTTGTGTCCGTCTGCAACTGCAATCGCAACTGCAACTGCATCTGCAACTGCATCTGCATGTTGTTGTGGGCTTAAGTCCCTGTCCACCTTTTATTATTAGCAGAACAACGCCTCTGCAGCGTGTCTAGTTAGCAACTGCGACTCTTGCTGCAGTTGAGCAACTATTGCCGTGCCCTGTGGTAAATAGTTAAGTGCAAATTGCATGGCTAATTTGAGCTGTTGCACTGTTGACAAGCTGACCGCAGAGCAGCGCACGCATTAGACACTCAGAGGTGTGAAATGAGCCAGTGTTGCATGGATAATGTGCAGACTACTTCAACCTCCCACTCTTATCCCGCCAAAAGCTACGCAGTTTCATGGCTGATCACTTAGTTTTGGTTTTTGCGAGCACAGCCCACAAATTCTGGCTGCTGCACTTTGGGGCAGTGCACAAAATCAAGTGAATAAACATTAAATTATAAACAACTAAATTGTGCAAATCTGGGCCAAATCATAAACACTAGTTGTTCACTGAGAGTATTTCAAGCTATAAAAGCCAAAGTAATTAAAAACAGAACTCTTGAATAGCGAAAAGCCAAATATCAATTACCAAAATCAACAGAAAAACAGTAACAAAAGCAAAAATCAATTTATAACAGAATATGCAGAATTAAATAACCTTCTAAAAAAAAACTTAAAACACTTTTATTGTTATTATAATTATTTAAAAAAATGTTTTATTTTAATGCATAACTTTTGAAACTAATAACTATTTTTTATTTATTATTATTTATTATAAATATAATTTACTATTTATTATTATTTTTCTTTACCGAAAGACACGCTTGAAAACAAGAAAAATATTTTGTTTACATTTGGATACCCTTCTAAGGTGAAAATTGAAAATGAAAGCAACTCAATCATTAAGTTAATTTTTCTGCAAATGCTTACAAATCCATTTGTATGGCAAAGCGTGACAGAACTCAAATATACCAGACAAGAGTGAAAAACAAGTCTAAATAGCATCTTTAAAAACGCAAAACCAATCAAGAATCATAAACATTTAAGTGTTAAACTTAAAGTGCAGTAAAAAGTAGGTGGGGAGAAAAATATAAAACAACAGCGTGGAATAGGCACTAAAAAGGTAAGAGTCATAGCCAATTGTTGGCTGTTAGCCGCATTCAGTTAACTGCAAGCTATTTTGTCACCCATTTGGGTAAATTTGAGTTACTACTATTTAATCGATTGATTAGCATCCATGAATGGATATTGACCCAAGTAATGAATTTGAAATGCACTCAAGTGTGCAACTACCCGACTCGACTCCCTTTGCACCACCAAAGAGATCGAACTTAAATTTACAAAATTTATCACTTTAAAGTTGAGGCGTATTTTGGTATTTGAAACATACATTTTTCTTCTTACAACTCCATTAGCATGCGGAGCAGCTGCGACTTCATGATGTGTGTATTTTTGTGGCCTATGCCAATTAACTTGCAACTGTTAACGTTTCGCACGTTCTATAAACGATTTGGAGCAGACCGCACTCCTCTCTCACTCCACTCCACTCCACTCTCTCTCTCTCTCTCTCTCGCTCGCTCTCTTTCACTCCACAGCACTGCACTTCAGCTCACACCTCAGTTATGCATGAGCCAAATCTTTTATCAATTTCTCAACTTTGCAAACAATTTGTTTAAACAATATACTTTTAGCGTAGTTGCAAATTTTTATTTTTTATTATTATATGCTGCCTTCCTATGCACTAAATATTTCTTTTTGTTAAATTTCACATCATTTAAAAAACTGTTCATGAAACTCAAATTCAAATCCAAGCAGCCACCAAATGATTCAGTTAGCTGTAACTCAGTGTGTTGTATGCCAAGTTGAGCGAGCGATGCGTGAACCGCGCGCGACGAGACTCGTTTGTTGACTGACGCTCGCAACACACTTGCTCGAAGTCAGCTGGCCGGGCTGGCTGTCGTCTGGTTACTTGGTTGGTTGGTCGGTTGGTTGGTCGGTTGGGAAGTCAACAATGTTCGAAAGCAACGCAGCAGCTGCAGACTGCGAGGGTGGCTGTCGCAGAGGCGTTCAAAGTAAACTAAAAACTAAATCGAGATCTGAATACATTATTTGCTCAAAGCTCAGTAAAAAGCTCAGTCAGAGTTAAGCAGAAATGTGAATAGGACCTTAATAAATTATTTTTAATAAATGAGAAATATTAATTATAATTGTCACTACTTTTTTTTAATTTTTATTAATATACAAATAGTGTCTGAATTGAATTGTTCAAATATGTATTTGCAGAATTTAAGTAGTTTTATTTAAAGTATCAAAATTCTTGACCAGAAAAGCATAGCTCTAAAAAATATAATTTTCGCAAAAATCTCATTTTGTTATTATTAAAATATATATATGGTTCCTAAAAGTGCCCCAGAACAAATGAAAAGCGCAATAAACATGTTAAATGCTGCTTAGCTGATGAGATAAAAGCCGTTGGCAATGTTGGCGCAACAGGCGCTGTTAGACATCAAACATGTTGCATTGTTGTATTGTTGTATTGTTGAGTTGTGCGTTGCAACAACGAACAGTTCGAAGAGATTTGTTTCGTTAGAATTGTTAAATTATAAATGATGAACTATTGTTATGGCTTTATTTAACGACCCTGTCCAAACAGCCCGTCCAATGAGCTAAGGATTATGCTAATTAGAAATACAACAACTCAGATAGAAATATGAATAGTTTTTGCTGATTTGTTGGAGAGTCGCAACGGGTTTTGAGTTATTGCTGCCGTGTGGGTGGTGGCAGCAGCAAGCTGTTGCTGCTTGTGTTGCATGTGCCTCATATTAATTGCAGTGCTTACGACTGAAATCGCCCACACAGCAAATAAAACAAACAGCAAAAGTTGCATCAGTTGTCGACCCACTTGCACAAAGCCAAAGATGGAGATGATGGAGTTGGAGCTGAAGCTGAAGCTGAAGCTGCTGGAAATGGAAATGGAAATGGTGAACGCCTACCTGGCGAACCCCACACGAGCGTGTCCAGTTGGACAAACCCTGCACCTGGAGACCTCTGGGTCTTCCTCTCCTGCCTGGCCACCGGCCACCGGCCACCGGGCACCGGGTACCGGGCACCGGGTACCGGGCACCTGGGACCACTCTAACTTTAGTATGACGACGAATTTGCATTTATTTACATTGCAAGGCGCATGATTAAGCAATAAATTCACACGATCTGGCAAAACTGTGGCTTTTGTTGCTATTGTTGTTGCTGTTGCTGTTGCAACTGTTAACGGTACATGCTGCACTCTATACTACTACTACAACAACAATAACTACTCCTACAATTATTATTTTTATTATTATTTGTTATGCCTTGGCAATCATATTTGTATTTCCAATTGCCAAGCGGAAGCCATTCAAAAATAGTGCGACAATTTCAAGCCAAAGGAAAATGAATTTGGAATTGCTGGGTCATTGTACGGTCAAATGGACTTGTGACCCTGTGGTGATCAACAGGTGTGCCCAGAATAAGCTGAGTCATTGCTTGCATTCAGCTACAACGCGAAATGAGATAGTTTTGACCTTTCCATTTAGCATAAATGCTTAGACCAAAAAATATAATTGAGTAAACAAACGAGAATCCAAAGCAAGTTGATTTAATTTATTATTTTATTACTATTTTATTACTTATCATATATTTTAACCAGTATATATTTATCTTTGTAGTAATTTAAGATTCCAGAAAGTTTAGTCAAATTTGAAATATTTTTTACACAAATTTAAAAGCAAACAATTCAAACAGATTCTTTCTGCAATTCTAACTCTGCACTTTAAATTTAAACTGTTGAAATTCTCAAGCACATTGATATAATTAAATCTATTATATATAACTATTCTATTAATTATTTTTAAATTTCGATAGACAAATTTACGATACAAATATTTCCCATAGAGATCAAAACAAGAATGTGTTTTTCTTTCCCGACAAATCTCACTCAAAATATTAGAAATTTGGTGTTTCCATAAAAAATCCACAACAACAAAAGAATATAAATAAAATTAAGGTGCACTGCTGAATGAAAGTTTAAAATTGTATTCAATATGCTTGAGCAGCTTACATTTCCTTCTGTTTCTGGAAATAATAATGGCGATTCCCTGGTCCTGGTAGGAACAAATGCTCGCGGAACTCCTCCGCAGTGAAAGCGCTCGTGTTGTAAATGAATGTTTGATTGCTCATATGGGAGGAGGACCTCGAATATATTTCGGGCACTGGTTGGGCTTCTGATTTCTTGGCACCGAGCACTGTCCAAATGTCCAACTCCTCCTCCTCCTGTTCCTCCTTGACCTCCTCCACGACGATTTCCTCTGTGGACGACTCGGGTAGTCGATTCTTGATGCACTCCTCCCACTTCGACTGCTGGTCCTGAATTTTGGCCTTAATGGGATGCTTGAGTCCAGCCAGATAATCCAAAAGACTGTTTTCCGTTTGAGTCTCGTCGCCCAAATAGGGATGCTGTTTCTCGTAATTGTTGCGGCGCACGATGAGATCCGCTTCGAACTCCTCGTCCGTGTCCAGATCGCAAGCGCGACAATCGATGTGTGTGACCTTGTGGTTGGTCTGCAGACCGCAAATCACCTCACGGCCCACATGGGGATTCAGCTTAATCGCCGCCATATCTAATCCATGCAATGGCCTGTGATTGCGCAACAGAAAGCTAATAACTCCAGCGATCCGGCCAGGCTCAGCCATGGCGCCATTGATATTCAGCTCCCACACATGATGTGTGCCAACGATGTCATGGACGAGCAGGTACAGGCCATATTCCCCGATTGGGTTGTGTGACAAGCCCAGATACTCCAGTGGCTTGCCCTCGGGCTCCTGCAAGGCTTGATACTTGAGCGCATGTCCAATGGCCTCGAGTGCGCCACGCTCCAGTTTGTTGTACTCCAATTCCAATCCCTTCAGCATAGTCCTTCGCTCCAGGAGCATCTCCAAGGCAATGGCACAATTATCGTTTAGCTGATCGTAGCCAAAGTCAACGATCTCCAGATTGTCCAATTGCTTGAGGACACGCACCAAGATCAGCATCTTGGTTTGATCCATGCAACTGTTGCGCAATCGGAAGACCCTCAGCTGTTCCAGGGTGCGCAATCCCTTCGCCAAATGAATCATGTCGTCATAGGAGAAGTTCAGATGCCGCTTGTGATATTCGAGCTCCATTTTGGGACCCAGGAACTCGATGGTCAGTGAGGCCAGCCGATCGAAATATCGCACAAAGCTCAGATCAATGTGATGGCAATGCTTGGCTGGATAATCGTAGCGTTTGATGCGACGCAACAGTTTCTCCTTGTTGCGTCCATCCGCTATTTTGTCCACACCATCGTCCGGCTCTGGGTCCACAGCCAAATCGAATACGCCGTCGATGGCCTTCTGCGGCTTCTTCTTTTTCTTCTTCTTTCGCTTGGGAGCCGGCTCGGGTGGCTGGCGCCGCAGTTCACGACTCTGGTTGCGCCTCTCGTGCTCCTCCCTCTTCTCCTGCTGCAGGTTCCTCAACTGCTGTCGAGCCGCATTGCGAGCAGCGCGCGCCTCTCGGCGCTTTGCTTGGAAATCATCTTGAAAGGCATCCCTTATGTGAATAACCGTTCGACTGGGCTTTTTATGGAAACTGCTCGAGGTGACTCGTGATTCAACATGAACTGCTTTCGGCGCGAGCGAAACGCCCAATCGGAGTTTCGTCTTGGACGTTTGCATAACCGATTCCTCCTCTTCCTCAGCCTCAACCTTCTCCTCCTCCTCCACCTCCTCGTCGTCAGCTGTATCCCTGTATATATTAAATCGAACTTGCCATTAATCTGGTCTTAAATTACTTTGAGATTACTTAAAAGATATTTCTATTTTATCCTATTGAAAAATCAAATTATTTTTCACTCAAGTTTTTTTCTGAAATTTTACGAGATTTCTATTTTCATTATTTTAATACTAATCACTTTCACCTTGACTAATCTGTCTCAATTCCAATGGAATGGAAGTTCACAATAATATTTAAAATAAAATGTATTCTGATTACCTTTCATCACTGGATATTTCGGATAATATGGATTCGGCAGAGGTCACATCCAGTTCAGATTCACTTTCAACATAATGCATAAATGCATTCTCCGTCAGCGATTGCAGATGGCGAATGTGCATCGTTCTCACATATTGGCGCACCATGTAGCCCAGCTCAGCCATCTCCTTCTCGGGCCAGTAGGCGGCTGGGCAGGATTCGACAAGCTCCACATACTTGAGGCTGATGCCCTGACCCTTCCAGTCGTACTCATCGAGTTTCTTTAGTGACAGGCATTTGTCCGAGCTCTTGGCGAGCACCACCCGACGCCAGAAACGCACATCGTCTACAAAATAGCAATCCTTCAGCGGCAGATTCACGTCCAGGGCATCGTAATGAATGCGAAACTTAAGTGGATCCTGTTTCACAGGTGGCGCAATGTATCTGGTGCCCATTTTGGCCAGGGCACGCACACACAGATTGGCCAAGGTGCCCAAGCGTTCGTTCTCAATCGATGCCTCGGCGTAAACCTCGCGATTCCGCTCGCTGTGGAGTCGCCTCGTTCCCTTGGAGGTTCGGTAGAGCTCATATTCCCGCAGCAGCTCCGGCTCATTGGGTATGCCAAAGATATTTAAGTTTGCCGGTGGCAAAAACTCTGACTCATCCTCATCATCCATGGCGACGAAGCTTAAAGTGAATTGTGTGTTTTTTACTCAAATGAACAATTCTCGTTTTTTGTTAATTTTGGTGTGTGTAGAGAGTTTAACTGACTGGCGCAAATTCTGTATTTTTTTTTAAATATTTATAAATGCAGACTTGACCGGATATATATTAGAGCTTTATTTAATACAACTGACATAAGTTTGGCAATGCCGTACTTTAATGTACTTCTGAATGTATTGCTATTTAGTTATTTGTTTCTTGTATCGATTCTAGAAATCTTCATTTGACCAGATCTTGATTTTGAAAAGTAAATAAATATATAGATTTATACGAGCTTTATTTAATGCGACAGTGAAATGTAAATGTAGAAATACAAACTTACTTTTGAGCTGAATAACAATTTAATTAGTTATTTATTCGGTTATTACTATCTACTTAATTTTATTAAAAGTAGCAAATATATTTTAAGAAATATTTAAAATACAAAAAGAGTTTTTCTACTTATAAAAAATGGTTTTATTTATTTATTTTGAAAGCAATTATAACAACCAGAACATTTTTCAAGTCTTAGGTCGATTTTGTTCGAGTGTACATGGCAAGAGGAAACTTTCTGCCTACCTTATTATCTCTCTTCCTCTCTCCCACTCCCACTCTCAATCTCTATGTGTTCCTCTTTGTCTCACTCAGCCCTCTCTCTCTCTCTCTCTCTCTATTACTAGCTTAATCCCAAGTTGCTCAAATTGTAAATACTTACATTCTAAATGGCTTCATTGCTTGGCCTGGCGAATAACTTCTTCGTTGGACTTAAAATGAGCTGCCCCTGTGGCGCTTGAGAGCTTGGCTTTGGCGCTGGCGCTGGCGCTGGCGCTGGCCTCAGACCCCGGCCTACCGAGGCCCAAAACCCAAACACGAACCCGGGTCTGACCTCGAGGCACGCCAACATCAGTAACATCAAAAACTTAAACGACAACGACGCATTGTTTCCACCACAGATGCTCTCTGCTCCCTCCCTCTCTCCCGCTCCCTCTCTCGCCCTCTCTCTCTCTCGCTCTCTTGAGGGCTTTGTCTCTGTCTAACTGCGTATCAGTCTGGGGCTGCAGTTGATGATGATGACTTAATCGTTGATCTGAGTTCGCATAGGTGGGCGTTATAGTGATTTATTATTCCGCTTGGACACGCACTATAAAAAACGGACTGGCTCAGCCATAAAAGAAGCAATTCAACGAGTTCGCCCTAGCAACGAATTGTCAATGCACTTAAAAAAACAAAAAAAAATAAAAAAAAAAAGGAAAAAGTAAGAATCGAATGAAATTAAGTACATTGTGCTGAACTCTCTGATTATTCTGGAATAAAATAAAATTAATTAAACTATTTTTGTTTATATTCGTATGTATTATTATGCCTATTTATGTATTCATTCTTTTACATACTCATATTAACACTCATATTCACACTTATGCTCCTCTACATACTCATATTCATACTGATTTTTTTTTTAATTTGCATATTCATATTCATTTTCATAGTCATATTCATATTTATATTAATATTCATATTTATAGTCATATCCATATTCATATTCTTCTTCTACTGTATAATACTCTATTATTCATATTCAAGTAGATGCTCGTATGTATTATATTTATTTATATTTATTCACAGGCATGCACTGTCTACCTCACATTTCGCAAATGTAGCTTGCAGTATTCTCAACGTGCTGGCCAAGTTAACATGCAAATGCATAGGCAAAATAACAGTGCATTTTAAAACGGTAGGAGGTCTAGGTCTGAATAAAAAATTTAAAAAAATAAAACAAATAAAACCAGTTGAGTGTGCGACGTTTTAACTTGTTTGGCGCTGCTGTTGCTGTTGCTGTTGCTTTTTGTTTAAGTTTACTTTACTTATGCCTGACTTTAGTTTGCCCTACTGCTTTAATTTCTAGCTCAGTTTGGGGCCGCTTGATTGCTCCCGGGCTGGGTGGTAAAAGCACCCCGCTTCTCCCGCCCCTTTGGTCTCGGTGTCGGTGTCGGTGTCGGTGTTGATGTCGTTGGTGTTGGTTTTGGTGTTGGCAACTGGGTCCTTGCTGTTGCCCAGAACCGAGCCTTCAAATTATATACATATATCACAGATGGCGGTCGCAGCTGTGCGCCAGTTTTCAGCCGCTTAACGCTGCAATGCCATAATCATCATCATCGTCATCAGCATCTTTTTTCTCATAAAAGAAAGAGACGGGGACACACACCATTTATTTATGCACTTGACTTACGAGGCGCGCCGCCAGGCCAATTGTGTTGCCAAGGGGGCTGTGGGATGGGTGATGGGGATGGGGATGGGGCATCATGTGCGAAAGGGCCACCCTTAATGAGCGTATCATATTTCACACATGTCTGCGCCGCTGCTTAAGCAGTCAACACCTTTGTCGCCTCTGCATCTTCTTCTTCTTCGTGCTTTGTTGATAAGTTTTCGAGTGCAACTTACAAATGGTTTGTGAGTGCACTCTGCACAGACAGGAGCAGTAGTTGTGAATCATTGTTGAATGCTAGACAGCAAGTGGCACAAGATTAAACTTCACTTTTGCCTACAGTAAATAAATAAATAATTCTTAACTGACTCGTTGAAAAAGTTTTGCACAAAACTTGCTTCGAAGAGCATTAAAAGTTTTTAAGTTTTACAACTTGCTTAAGGGTATTTATTATAGAGTATCTACTAGTAGTATTAAATTATACAAGTTGTCGGATGCAACTGTGAAGAGAGATACAAGAAATAACTAAATACAGAAAGTTAATTCTTAATTGGTATAAATAATATACTCTCATATCTATCAGTTGCCACAACATCTAGTTAATTGAGTTAGCCAGTTATAAGACAAAGTTCTCAAATTTGTATTTTACTTAGACTGAAAATCAAATTTGAGGCAGCTTAAGTTCGCTGCAATCTTTTAATTTTACTAATTCAAAAATAATTAAAAATATACAGAAATAATTTCCTTGAATTTGAATTGAATTGAATTTTAAATTCGATATAAAAGTATACTAAGACTATTTTTAAAGTATTTTATTATTTATTTTTCATTGTATTTAAAATTATACTAAAGTATATATAATAAACTTATATATATAATTTGCGTGGCTTCAGCAATTTTTTCCAAAGAGCACCTCGCATTTAACTAAACCAAATTTTGATGGAGCTTAAAACCGTCAAAATCAAATTTGAAAGCCATTCGAATAAGCTTGGCAAGAGTTCATACATCGTGTAGATTAGTTTGTGTAAACAGAATAAATATAAGTATTATGTAGTTAACAACTTGAGCAGCCTATGAAAAATTAATCTCGAAATGCCTTCCGTCTAATAAGTTAGGCAACAGTTGTGTCAGCTGCGATTATCAAGTAACCAACTACAATAAGTCTGCCCTTGAAATGAAGTCATAAGCAGCATAATTGCTGTAAATGGAGCGTTCTCAAGAACACACACACACACACACACACATCTAGGGCCAGCTTCAGCTGTGTGGAGCGCCGGTGTCGTAATCATTAGGCACGTAAGCAATTAGACTTGATGTTAAATGAGCTGCAGCAGATACGTCAAGGAGTTATGGCTGCGAATGAGATGAAGATGTGGCTAAAAGAGATCAAGAGGTGAGTAGTGCAAAAATGATGTGGAACTAAGCAGATTGTAATGTAGAAAACGAAAATCTGCGCTTCAGATGTGGCCATAATGACAAAGACCTGGCCAGAAAGCAACAGCAGTAGCAACATCATCGAAAGCGCTCTTTGCTTGAAAGACACGCACATTAATTATGTTAATGCAACTGTTGCACATTCTGACACAGAGAGACAGGCGGAGATAGAAAGAGGCAGAGCGAGAGAGAGAGAGAGAGAGAGAGAGAGAGAGAGAGAGAGAGAGGGAGGGAGAGGGAGGGAGAGAGGGAGAGAGGGAGAGAGTCAAAAAAGTCACATAACTCATAATGCCAATTCCTCTTAATGTCTGTAGTCTGAAGTCTTGGCCAGACATAAGAGCACTAGAACTTTAAGCACGACTTCATTAAAACTTGTGCAGCATTTTGTCTTCTTAGCCCGGACAGGCCGCAAGCCAGCCAGTCAGCTAGCCAGCCAGCTAGTCAGCATGGCTAAGGAATCAGGACAAAGTCGCTGCCAAATCCAAACAGAGAAACAGGCAAACAGGCAAACTGGCAAACTGGCAAACAGACAATCTGCAGCCGTGTCTAATGACTACAAAAATAGCCAAATGCAGTTTAATTTATTACCCAACGCCAACAACTGACCATGTGAGAACTGCAATGTCCAGTTTTCAGTGTTCAGTGTTCAGTGTTCACATATCCCAGCGAGTGTCGCCCAAAAAGTTAGTTAAATTATTACTTTCAATTCATTTGATCTCTTAAAGACCATTTAATTATTATTTATAATAATAATATTTCTTTAAAAAAATATCGCGTTAGTTACACGTATAAACTTAAAGTGTTCTGTGGTAAATCAATAATAATACTTAATAATAATAATAATACTTTTTCCCCTAATTTTTCAAGTATGACGTTTAAGCGAGCTGAGGATAAAGCATACATTTCCAATTAGAAAAGTTACTTAAAAGTTTTCAAACACTAATTCTAATCATCTAATTTGAATTATATTGAGTTGTCTTTTCATAATATGATATGAAAAAGCAAAGCTGCCTTTGCGAAAGTTGTGAAGAGGAATCCCGACGGAATTTTAAATATAACCGAGTAAAGTTTTAAAAAAAACTTGAGCTGTGGCCAGCGAAAAACATATTTAAATAATACGATAACTTTAATTATTCCTGAATATTTCTTAAAAATTGCATTCACTTCGACATCTTCGATATCTAACAATTAAATAATTAATCTTACTTATAAAAGTCACATTTGTTTAAGCAAATTTATAACGATTCTGATTTAGGCAACATTTTGAATGATTTACAATTCGAGGATGCTTAGGTATAGGAAAATTTATACTTAACGGGAAAATTGTCAAAGTTATAGATTTTAAGACCGCTATATAATATTTTGAAAGTAATTCTAATTTTGTGCTTTAACTTCATTCCTTGCAAGTTGCTTCTGCTTCTGCTTCTGCTTTTGTTTAATTTCATTCTTTTGTTTATCTTCATCTATAAATTAGCTAAGATTTAATCTTGTTCAAATAGTTGTTGGAAGTATTTCCTCAAAAATGCATTGATTAATATGAATTTAGAGAGCACACACATTATTAGCAGCTTAATTGGATATTTAATGCAACAGCCTCTTTCAGCCATCAATAGAAGCCTGCAGCGTCTGGTTTACCCTGGTTTCGCCACCGCTCCACTGCCCCCATCATTATAGTGTTGCATGTGTAAAAGTTGCATTTGGGGGGAGTCGCAGCAGGGCAGCAGTTGAGTGATTTATGCTTGCAACTTGCTGCGTCGCCTCTAACTCTAAGCCTTATTTTTGTTATCAGCTAATTCGGAAATTGCTTGGTAAATACTGCTGCCATATTTACCCGTTGCCCCCGCCGAAATCAAGCGCAAATAAAGCAAAGGTTGCAAAGATTTGAGAGAGATATTTCGCAATGAATTATATATCTAATTTGGGGTCACCAACCTAATAATCGTGGTATTCACAGACTTTACATACTCTTCATATTTAGTATTAAAAATATAATTTATGTATAATTGTGAAATGTTAACGTGATTGAACCCCTGTAAATGCGCTGTGGTTTCTCCTAGGACTAGAACGAGGTGTGCACCCAGAGTCTATTAATAAACAACTAAATATATGTATATATATAGTCGACAGCGGGTGCAGTTCAAGGCCAACTGCAATCAGGCAATCAATCAAAAAATGAAAAGTAAAAATAAAATGAAAGTAAAAAAATGAAAAATTCTGACAAGGATTGCCTTGAAAGCAACCAAACCCCAAAACCAATTTGCTGTCCTGCGAACAATGCATAATTACTGATAATGATTTTGTGCATTGTTAACGTCGCAATAGGCCGTCTATTGTTCTGGCCACGAATGAGAATGCGAATGCGAATGCGACTGCGAATGCGATTATGAATTGGGCCTGGTAAACTGGCAACTCCTGCGCAATGATTGCCAGTTGCCCTTGCCAGTTGCAGGCTTAGTTATGAGATAGATGCAGTCGACGTTGGCAGTTGTTGGCCATTTTCTGTTCTCTTTGACGATAAAATAATAAAAATTGATTTGCGCATCAGAGGTTTGGACGATAAAATTTTACAACATTGCGCGTCATGTGAAATTATCATTAAACACGAGCTCATCCTCATCAACAGATCGCCACCCCTCCCCCCACCATCCCTCCCATAGCCCAATAGCAGGAGCCTGGCCTGTTGCAGAGATTACAAATCATAGTTAACGACTTGCTGTTAAGCTCACGACTCCCAGATTCCAAATCACAGATGAGACAAGTCAGACACGTGAGGCACAGATGCAACAGATGCAACAGATGCAAGCGATGCGAAAGGGGCAAAGGGGGAACTGGGAAAGAGGCAAGCTTTTGTTGTTCCTGTTGAAGGGGCAGCTATGAATTTCAATTAAACTCTTTCGATGCAATTATTCACACCTTGCCCCTTGTCGCGGTTGCAAGCAAACTAATTGAGCAGTCAAGTTGCATTTAGGCAATAGGGTGGATCAAGTAATCAATTACACCAATATTCACAGAAATTAGATTCCATTATGTTTTGCAACAAAAATAAAATACAGATGTAAACCCAATCAACACCAAATTGGTATTCCTTATCATCAGAATCGGTTCACTTTTAACAAATTATGGCAGCTGCGAGTTCTGCGATTTTACTAATGATAGCTGGATATTTTTACTAACATTGTTATTTTCCCTTAATATGTTCATCTTTTCTTGACCCCAAATATCTTGTTCCTAAATTTCAAAACGAATTCATAACGAAAAAATACGAATTTTCAACTGCACTTCGAAACATATTCAGATATGATTCTATGCTAACAAAAACAAATATTCCACTTATATTACTATTATATTAATATTATATTTGCTTTTGGCTTTTTCATCAGTTTATTTAACAAATAAAACTGGGACGGGATCGAATGCATCTATTGTCATCTCCCTCTCACTTGCACCATCAACAAATCTCATTTCATGTATCAGCGCGCTCTATCGTCAAAATACACAACTATTGTGATAAATGCCAACAAAAATACAAATGGTCTGATCTAGCTGGAAAAAGGCTAGGTTGGCACTACTGCTGTGCAAGACGAACCGACGTGAAGTTGGCTGCGAATGCGAGTACATGAACCAAAAGAGTCGTTTTCATAGCCGTCAGTCTTCAACAGACACAAACTGCACAGACAAAAGCTGAGTGGTGCCAAAGCGCCACCTATTCGAAATGAAGGTAACACACAAATATTTCATAACGATTTTATTTAAACAAATATTTAAGCAATTATTTAATTAAAAAAAAAACGATGACAAAAGAAATTCCAGATCTGTTTTTAATACAGTGCGTTGATTTTGTTTTATTTATTTTGTTTTGTTTTTTCATATTTTAAATATAGTTTTATATATGCAGCTATAATAGTTATTTAAAATTTGAATACTACATTGTTTAATTGTTAATTTTCTTTGATTTTCTTTTAAACTAAATGACCTTTAAGCTACGTTTTTGTTTGTGTTTGCTCCGTTTTCTCTCTCAATCTGCTCTCAATCCCCTCTCTCAATTTGATGCTCTGCTTCGTCTCTCGACTTGCGTTTCTATTGTTTGCTATTCTAATGTGCTAGATACGTATATTTATGTATGTATATATAAAGTTATTTATATGGTAGTTAGTCATTAATTTACAATACATTAATTATAGAATATTATAAACAATTTCAAATGTTTGCTGCTCGCGAAGAATTGTTGTTACGCTTGTTTTGTTGTTGAGATTAATGTTAAAAACTATATAATACATTCAAAGTCTTGGCATTAAAGAATAGTTATTGGTTTTTTTTTCTTTTTCTTTCAAAACAAAATAATTAAATTATTTTGCGCTGGTTTACAATTTTGTCTCACACACATACACATACACATAAATAAATTAAAGTTTTTACTTTATGTTGATTCATTTGATTTTCATTTTGTTTTCTGTATCATTCTTTGTACTCAAAACTGTACGAAAAACGCGCGCAAAACGCGCTTGCGATTCCGCAGCGTCTTAAAACGCGATAAGCCTTTCATAAGAACCCCATATCGAGGGCGGTGTAAAGCGCACGAATGTCGCTGTGTGCGGATATGCGCCAGAACGGAAAGTTCATGGCCTTGGCAGCGGACTCCTCCTCGGCGCCATCGCCAATGACGACGTAGGTGCTCTTACGCCCAAAGCGCGTCACAATCCGCTCATAACAAGTCTCCTGGCCTGCGGGACGAAGAGTGAAGATTATTATGAAATGAAGATTATTTGGAAATGGGATAATCATTGGTTTGCTGTGCTGTGCTGTGCTGTGTGGTTGGGTAACTCACCAATCTTGTGGGCACTGTAGATGTTCTCAATGTTGAATATGCTGCCCAGGCCGAAGAGCATCACTTTGGCCAGCGCCGGCGCCAGCTGTGTTGAGGTGACCAGCACGTTGACGCAGTTCTCGCGCTGGGCAATCATGCTGAGACACTTCAGCGCCAAGGTGGCCCAATTGTCGGTGGCCACCTCGATCTCGGAGCGGATCTGCAACCACACATCCCGCTTGCCAGGACCCAACAAAGTGCCAACACTAAGAGACGCAGAGAGAGTGCGCAAGAGAGAGATAGAGAGAGAAAGAGAGAGAGAGAGAGAGAAGGCAATTAATAAAGTGCTCAGCTAGCAATTGTAATAACAAATGCAAAAGTTAAATTATTTATGCATGTAATCCTAATTTAATAGCTACAAATAATAATTATAATAATACTAATTTATATACAAATATAAAAAGTAAAAAAAAATATATAATAAAAAAAACATTTTTTATTTCATATTACAGATCTGACTTAATTTTTAAATTTTTTATACAAATCGAATTCAAGCAAAGTTCTATATTTAGATTTAGATTATTTCAGAATAAAGATAAGATTGTATTTAATTGATAACTATTATTAAATAAGTGAATTCTCATTTGACTATTTTAAATCATTTTGATATAATACAAGTAAAATAATTGTAATTTCAGAATTAATATTTTAATACTTTAGATAAGATTATTATTTACATTTTTACAATTTCCAATTTTATTTTGCATGGAGAAAAATACTAAATTTAAATATGACGATTCTAAATAATTACGAGTTTAATATTTCTCTCTGTTCATGACAATCTTTAGTTTCTAGTTTTAGTTTTTATTAAATTAGCTTAAGGAAGTCAATTCTTAAAATTGAATCTGTTGTTAATGGATTGTTTTGATTAATGTCCGCTGTAGTACTTACTTGCCCCTGTAGCTGTTGTAGATGTCCTTGATCTTGCGGTAGCGAAACGCCAGCTTGCGCATCCAATCCACGCCGCCGCGAACGCCGGTGGGCAGACAGAGATTGGGTGGGGCACCGGGCGGGTTGCCCGTGTGGAAACCATCGGTGGCAAAGTTATAGGTGCTCAGATCTTGGCCATTGTCATCGGAGCTGACGTCGTCGATGTGCACCTGGTCGCACTCCTCGATCTCGTTGAAGAAGAAATGCGTGTCGGCCATGTTGAAGACCATCTCCTCCATGCGATAGGCGATGGTCATCAGGGTGCTGTGGTCTTTGGTGTAGCGATTGGCATAGCTGCCCGACAGCAGCGTGTGGAAGATGATCAGCGTCTCGTCCAGATCCCAGACGAAGACACGTTCCGGCGGCTTCACCGTCTCCCCATTGCCCGTATCCGATGCTGTGCTGCGCGTCGGACTCGGCTGCTGATGTCGTCGTCCGCGCGCCCTGCCCGTCTTGCCCGTCGGCGTCGTCTTGGCTGCTGTCGCTGAGCCACCACCACCACCACCTCCACTGCTGCCACCGCTGGAGTTGAGCGTTGCGGACGAGGATGTCGCCGTCGCCGCATTGACAACCTGAACGCCCGCATTCGGTGACATCGAGATGGGCAGCGGGGGCGAGTGCGGCGAGTGTGTGGCCGGATGAACGGGAGTCGTTGAGTGCGTGTCCGTTGGACTCTCGGAGAGATTCGATGAGGCGGTGGCCACATGAAAACCATGGCTGGCACTCGAGCTGGGCGAACTCACCGCATACGGCGAATAATTGGCCGGATTATAATAGTTGCCATACTGTTCGTTGTAGTATCCGCCATAATCCTGCTGACCAAAATTATTGTAGCCCGCATACGGATTGCTATACAGCTGGGAATTATTGTTGCCCCCGCTCGCATAGCTCGAGGAGAGATACGCGGCAGCTGCAGCGCCCGGCTCCATTTTGGCGCCACGTGCCGCACTCGCAGCGGCATACGGTGTCCCATAGCCGGAGTAGAACGGCGGCGGCGTATATTGCTGCATGCTGTTGTAGTAGTAATAATCATGTTTGCTATCGTATACAGCGGCAGCGGCAGCTGCCACAGCCGAGGAGTTCACGGACGCCGTGCTGTCCACACAGCCGTAGACGGCGGCGGCGGCCGCAGCAGCGGACGCATTGTCCAGGGGATGAGTGTGGACAGCCTGGCCGGGACTGCGGGACTCGGATTTGACGGCGGGCGCAAGGCTGCCGCTGCTGCTGCTGTTGCCGGCACCGCTGCTGTTCGTCTCGTGCGCCCAATGCGACATGGCGGCTGGATGGGCCACGCCCACGCCCACGCCCACGACACCAACGCCCACCTCATCGCTGGCCTGCTGCTGATATGTGGAGAAGCTGCTGCCCGACGACTGTGCAAAGCTTGAGGCGGCGGCAGCCAGGCTGCAGCTGCTCGGATTTGGATTCGAGTTCGGGTTCGAGTTCGAGTTCGAATTCGGGATGTGGTTGCTGTTATTGTTGTTGTTGCTCGCAAAGTGGTTGCTTAGCGCGCCAATTGTTGGCTGCAACGGTTGTATTTGTGGCGGCAGTCCGAGTGGGCTGCACTGCCCGGCCACGCCCACGCCAATGCCAACGCCCACGCTGGCGCCGGCACTGCTGGGCCCATTGCTGGTGGCCAACACGGCGCTTGAGTGTGTCTGCTGTTGTTGTTGTTGTTGCTGCTGTTGCTGCTGCTGTTGATGTTGATGTTGCTGCTGTTGCTGTTGCTGTTGGTGTTGCTGTTGGTGTTGTTGTTGACTTTGGCAGAGACTAAAAGCAGATAAAAAGAAAGATAAAAATGAGTGAGAATGTTGAGATGGGTTACGTGCTTCGTTTCTTCATATGATGTATTTTAACTGTGAATACAATTATTATTATAAATAAAGTTCCTCTTTATTTTTAAGATAATTACTTAAATAATTTTTGACATAGCAGCTAGTTGTATTTTATTATACGTTTATCTTAAGCGACATTCTTAATTACTTTATAAATTAATTCACTTACATTCAATCAAAATTCTACATTGCAAAAGACATTGCGGTTTTTGGGTCTGCCCGGTGTCTTTCCGGATTCCCCCGCTAGACCAATTTTACAATGAAATACCTCCACAAATTTATTTTTATTTTTTTTTGTGACTATTTGTTGACTGCAATTAGTCAACATAAAACAAATAATTGATTAACGTTTCACAGATTGATAATAAATTATTATGGCATGCAAGTTGACTCATAAACATTTGAAGTTCTTTAGACAAATATTAAAGGTAATTTTTTTAAGTAATTAATTGACAAAATATTTTGCATAAAAATGTGTCAATTGTTCAGTTGATTATTATTATCTTATTAAACTAAAATCTCCCATTAAACTTATGTATGTAGTTTTACTAATGCTTCCAAAGAACTGCTACTGCCTAGGCGCATGTATGAGTATATATTTACTATATATATTTGTGGTGCATAACTATTACCAATTATCCTACTACTACTCCAGATGCGGGGACATAAAGGAAGAAACATGGAGAGAAAGGCAGAGATCGAGACGGAGATGGAGACGGAGACGGAGAGAAACAAAAACGTTTTGCTCGTTAAGTAAACTCATAAAATAATTTCCAATAATCTTTAAACAGCCATTAAATTAACGGCACGTTGTCGTTGTTATTGTTGCAGTCCTCGTCGTCGCCGTCGTCGTCGCCGTCGTCGTCGTCAACGTCATCGTTTGCTTAGAACCGACCAAAAAAGTCAAGTGTGTCGCAGTCGCTCTCAAAATCTTGTCAAGTGTTATAAATATTGTGCAGCTCTCTCTCTCTCTCTCACTCTCTCTCTCTCTCTCTCTGTCCGTCTCTCTGTTTGCTTGGCATAAAAAAGGAAATCATTTGAAATGCCTTTTCAGAGGCACTTAAGAGGCCCACAGCTCTGCATCTCATGCCCCTTCCCCGTTCCCCCTTCCCCCTTCCCATTCCCATTGGCAAACCCAATCCATTGACGGCATGTGCGGACAAGTCCCGTAGTCCGAAGCATGTGTGCAGCAAATGTTTGACTGCTTAAGCAGCGACAAATTCTGTTCTTGTTATTCTCTCTCTCTCTCTCTCTCTTTCTCTTTCTGCTTCTGCTTCTTCTTGTTCATCTACTTCAGATTCATCGTCTTCGTCTTCGTCTAATTCCTATTTAACTAGCTTGAATTGTGGAAACAAATTAAGTAGACTAATTTCGAGGAGCCCAATAAAAACCAAACTCCAATAAGAAATCAAATAAATCACCGCTCGAAAAATCAAAACAAATGAAATATGTGCAGTCATTCAAATATTCTTGAGGCCTATTTCGAAGCAGTTGGTAATCCAATCCTGCTCGCCTGCAATTAAATGAAGTTGTTCAAACAATATATATGCCTCCGGGTTCCCTCCCACGCCTGGGCTTGGGCCATAATATAATCTGTTGTGTCTGTGTGCAATTTATCAAATATTATTTATTTATGCTCTTTAGTTTCAAGTTTATGGCTAAACTATGTGTGTGGGAGGGAGCTGCTCAGCGATTGTCCCACTTTCAGGTGAGACACAAGAACTTTAAGAATATACCGTTATCGAGCTACTAAAAATAATTTAAGAAATTACCAAACTTTAAATTTAACCATACATCATCAGATGAGAGTAGCTTTTAATCAATACAACTTCTGGTGTAAGAACTTCAAGTACATCTAATGAAGATTCAAATTAGTTGCTGAATGAGATGGGAGATAAAACAACGCTTTGAATTGAAAATAGAAAAGAAATAGGATTGCAATGTTTCAAATAATTATTTATTATTTTCAAAGCAAATCACATTTGTTCTCCCCTTAAAGAGCAAGTATCAAGTTTCATTAGAGTAAAGCAATCTATTTGGATAATATTTAAAGCTCTGCCAGTTTACACACATAATAATTTTCTCTATATTTGGTTATTTCTTGCCCCTTTTCTTCTGCTGTTGTATGCTTTCCAATCCAATTTGTCGTAATTTTTCATATTTTCTTTTTAACAATGCAATCGACCAGGAAGAGGTAAATAAAGTGCCCAATTTCCTTGGGAATCTGACACCTACAGACTTGGGACATTTTCCCCTTGGCAGCAGCCTAAAAAGGCCAACAAAGGGATCCACACAAAGCGGAGGGAGAAGGGAGAAGGGAGAAGGGGAAAGGGGGCTTGAAGTGTGTGAAAAATGAAGCGTGTGCTGCTTTTTGGGGGGCAGGCAGCTGATGTCAGTTTTGATGGCAACGTTAGAGTTCATAATATTATGTGTTTAAAGATATTCGATTTAAGAGAAATGAGCAAGCACCAAATGTGTCTTATAAATGCCACACATTTTAAACAAAGGGAGCTGCCTTTAATAGGCCCACGACCTGCTTAATAACCGTTAAGCCGCCTTAAGCCCCTTAAGTAGTTGGGCATGGTTCGTTATTTTCTTCTTTTTTTTTTTTGTACTCTGTGCCAAGTGATAAGTGCTCTGACACTCTGTCGTTTCTTTTAAAAATCTCTCAACTCAGGCAAGCGGGAAATTCTTTGAATTCTTTGCGAGCTGAAAATGTGGCATGTGTTGTGCCGAAATGCGAAGGGTCCACATGCAAAATGCAATTGAAATTTGTCAAAATTTATGAACACTTGTCGTGGCTGTTGTTGGCGGCAAGTGTGAAGCGGGTTCATTCTTGACCGGAACGTTACTATTACAAATTGTCTATGCTTACAGCTGCAAGGATGCCCAACATGTGCACAAATACTGCATCGTCCTGCTAGGACATATTAGAGAATGTTCTTTAATGATTTAAGCAAGTCTTAGAATACTAATCGGTCTCTTGAGAGGACACTGTAGACTGAGAAGTCACCTAGATAACTAGTTATAATCAGTAGCGGAAACTGCCAACTTTGTGACAATGCTGGGGAAGCCTCAAAACAGATCATTGAAAATTAGCCAAAGGAAAATGCAGTATCCTAGAGAAACAGGTCATAACATACTCCAATCCGACAAAAATGATTGAATCCATGCAGGAATCATACTTGTTGGAAGATATATAGGCTCGGAGAGAGCACAATAGGAAAATACAATTGGAAAATATAGAAGTTCTCTATCTAATCAAATAACTATTAATTATATAAATTATATATTAAAAAACTAATAATATTAAATACATAAATATGAATATATAAGATTAATCTTCAAATCTTCAAAATATTTATTTTGTATATTTCAATCTAGATTTAAGCATAATTTCCATTCTCTCTTTAGGTTATTCATTGAATTCTTTGGATTGCATAATAATAAAGATGATTTTTTTACGTTTATAACTACACATTTGCTGTATATAATAAATATAATAAATATAAATAATATAAATATAAATATAATAATAAAAAAATATAATAATAATAATAATAACAAGGAATGCTCACCGATTGCGTTCATGTGTATCCGTGTGCTCTGTTTTGGGACGTTTAACCTGCAAGAGAAGCAAATGCAAATAATTAACAAATATATGCAAGAGCCCAATTGGGCATTATATAAATGTCTCGAGTATTATTCTTGTGCTGTTGTTTATAAACAAAGCCCGTTGTCTTTTTGGCGTCGTCCCAACACCTCAGCGGGTTTCTCTGTGGCTGGTTTCCGCTGAGGTTGGCTTTTCTTTGATTTTTTTTTTTTTTTATGATTTGCTTGAAACTCTATTTGACTTTTATGCGACGCAATGCAACACAACACAACACAAACAAAATATAAATAAAAGAAAACAGCACATTTTACATAATTTGCACTCGCCATTTGCTTGGCCAGCAAATTCAACGTGCGTGGGAAAAAGTTTTACTGGGTTGATGTTGAGTTGATGGGGTGACAGAGCCGCTTTCGGCGCCATTGGCAATTGGGGTGCCAGGCCATGTGACGAATGGCCAACAAATTGCCGCGCAGACGGTGCACACAGCAGGTGGCCCAAAATGCTGGCTGCAAAGTTGGGAGTGCCTCCAAAAAGGAGCTAACGATAGAAGCAACAGAAGTCAAGCTAAGCTGATGAAGGAAACTTCACCTAAATGAGACAGGCCAGGAACCACATTAGCCAAGATATTGATTGGAACTGGCAAAACAATACCAAGAAAAACTTGGAGGAGAGGCAACCACAAGGACCACTTAAATATATAGCTTTATAAGGATATTGTAGTGCGTGAATAAAATGAATAAAAACTAAAGTTAAGCTGAAACTGTATAAGAAATGTGGGAAGTCGTAAATAATTTTCTGAGGATTAACCCTGACTGGGAAATGTCAAATAAATTACTAACATATTACGCAGAGATCTTTAAGACTTTAGATCACATAAATAAGATATTAAGAAAGGGAATAAGAGGGCTTAAAGCAAAAGTTGATGTTCGAAGAGTCAAATAGAAAAGGGAATATTCTTAAAACAAAAAAAAAACTAAAACCAAATTCAAGTTTTATGTAAATTGATTCCTATGAATAAAGGGTTGACAAAATTGGAAGATCTGAAGATCATTAAGAGAAACGAAAAGAGAAGAATCAAATTCGAAGGAATTTCGAGAAAGTTACAGGTTATTACTCAAAGCTCAGTAATGACCAAAGACCAGAAAGCAGATAGAAGATGAAGACAAATTGCGAATATAAATTCCACAAGTTATTAGCCAATAAGCTGTTCAATCGAAGGATGCGATTATGACACTGAAACGGAAGCCGGATGAGGGAAGGATGGAAGCAGGGAAACGAATGCTGTGATTGGTGACCTACAGCAGGCAAGGCAAAAGCTGCAGGAATTTATGGCCACCAAATTGACATGGTTGCATTCGTGAGCCGCTTTTGTTGAGCGGCTCCACAGTTGGCCACACACACACACAAGCACACTCACACACACACACCGTGTTCATCATATTTGTGCGTTTGTTTTCTTTTTTGTTGTCCTCTTTTGTTTTTTTGGCAAATTTGTGCTCAACGGTAGCGCTTAATGACGCGTTGCTGCAGTTTTTGGGAGTCAATATTTTTGTGCTTTTTTTTTTTTGGATGGGACTAAAGCTGAGCTTGCGTGTTGCACGGATTGTTTTGGGGCATGGGGTAGCCGCAACTGAAACCGAGACACGAATGCAAAACGAATGCAACGCAACCTTTTACTAAACTAATTTATGGCACAAGCTGACAACGTAAACATTAACACAGACGGACAGAGAAAGATACACAACAAGGAGGCGATGCTGGGCTGCCTGGCTGGCTGGCTGGCTCATCACGAGAGAGTCCAAGATATGGTACATATATATATATATATCTATATATATATGTATATATATAAAGACCTGTTTTGAGCATCTTTAACCAAATTCCTGTGATCGTAATCTTTTGTCTCTCTGCTGCTTTGGACAGCAGATTAAAACAGACAAGAGAGAAAAGGCTGCCAGCAGCAGCAGCCACACACAAACAACACACAAAAGACAACACAACGCGAAGACGGCGACAAATTTTTGTTTTTTTTTTATTTATTTTTTTTTATTAACTTGCCCGCCTGGCTTGGACTTCAGAGTCTGTGGCAGCAGCAGCAGCAGCAGCAGAAGACTGGACCCTACTAAGCCCCTAACAGATAAACATCGAAATAAACAACAAAAATTTGTAGCTCCCTCGCGTTGTTGTCATTTGTATTTCGACTGTTGTTGTTGTTGTTGTATTGTTCGATTTTATTGTAGCTGTTGTTGTAATTTCTTTTGTTGCTGTTGTTGTGGTTGTTGTTGTTGTTGACTGGGGGCCACGACCTATGCGCCTTAACACTTTGGCACGTTAATTACGTGGGACAATCGACAATCGCCAAGTGTCAATCGCTGCGGCCATAATCAATATTTTGACTGCTTGCTCAGTTGTGGCTGGCTGTGGCACAGACAGACGGGCGGACGGGGGTAGTGGGACATTAGGCAGGGGGCATGGCAACGATTCTTTCTTTTCATTTCTTGGCCCAAAGTGGCACATAAATTACATGCAGCGCATTGTCGCAGTTGAATTATGGCGTGTTAATTTTTACGATTACGGCTTAAACTTAATTAAAATGTGATTAATGTCGCCAGTTGCGCTTTGGGCCTTTTGTATGCCAGGCTCCTTAAATTGTCATAAAACTGGCCCAGTGCCAGTACAAAAAAAGGGACCTGCTGCACTCGGCTGCCTGCAACTGCGTCAACTGCATCCACTGCGTCAACTGGTCAAACTCCCTCAACGCTATAATTTATGCTCTATTAATATTTCGCCTTAAAGCACACACACACACACACACACACACACACACTGACTCACTCACACACACACACACACACTCATTGCGTTTCGTGATGCTTTTACAATATTCCTCATCCGAATCTCCCGTCTTTGCTTTAGCCAAGTGCAGTTTCCCCATAAAAGTCGCCGTTTGTCGATTTGACTTTGGCTGTGGCACCATTAAATCGGGTCTGTTCCCTAGGAGAGAACATATTGTGTAATATATGGAAAGTCTAAGACCAAGCTATTTAATATATTATATAATCAGCGTAAGTGAATTGAGAGACTTGCACATCTTCCACATCATAAAATCGGTGTGAAAACGAGATGAATTTTAAAAATCTAAATAAAATAAAATGCCCAAAATACAATAAATGAAATTGTATGTACGACAACACTGTTTTTTAAATGATAATCAGTAAAACTCGGCTTAAGATAATAGATGCGTGTTGCATACAATTAAGAAAACTTTAATTTAGCTATTGATTTTGTTTGCAAAGGATATCATTTGAATATACCACTTGTTATACGGACTTAATTGAGCTATCAAATAATACTAAATGGCTCGTGAATATCAGATCATTACTATATGGGAAAAAGTGTATATAAATGACTCAATCAGTAATTGGACTTGTTAGACAACATTGTTGAACAGTTCATTTTAATTACTATGCTCAAAAAAATCTTGCTGTTGTTAGACAAAATCATTGAATATGATTATTCCGAACTTGTATTCATTTATAAACTAAATATTTAACGTAGAATTATTGTCTTTATATTCATAACTGGTAAGAACATAATTCGATGCAATTGGCCTAGCTTAATGACCTTAATTTGCCATTAATTTCCATGGGTCACATTTTCATAAGTTGTTTATGTATCTAATAAATACATCAGTTATATTTCTATATTTTACTAGTCTAAGTATGTTTTATGAAATTAAGTAAGCTGACTTTTGTTTATAAGTGTCTTGGATTATTCACACAACTTTGCATTAATTGCAAATTAATTGCAACTACTGTAAATTAGTGTAATTGAATATTTGCCGGCTTATTGTGGAATTTGTGAAAGTATATAATGAATAGAAGTTTGCATTAAAATAAATGTTAATTCAAATTAATATTTAATATTGTGATTGCGAAAAAGTAATTGCTTAGGTAAAAGTGCTTTACTGTTTGGGAAATTAAATATTTGTTTAGTTCGCAATGAGTATTAACTTGTATTAACTGAAGTGATTCAATTGAAAGGCTAGGCTAGGTTTGTGTCTATAATCTTCATAGTTTCCACACAAACCTATCTCAACCGCATTCTCAGCTAGGCGAACTCTCCTCAAAGACGAAGTGTCTCCAAATGTTGGCGAAGCCATTCAAACAAACCGCAAAAGCAGCTGCAATAACAACATCAACAACAATAATAATAACAATAGCATTAACCGACGGCAAAAGCCGCAGACATAATAAAAACACAACAAAAAAGTTAAATATTTTTCGATTTGTGGAGCGAATCAGCGACTTGTTGGCACTTTTAAAGCTTCGCTCAAGTTAAGATTTATGCGGTGGCAATTGTTGATGGAATTGTTTATTTATTACCTTTGGTTCGATCATTTTGTCAATTAATCCGCAACGCGGCGCTGCATAGTTGTATGGCATTAGGGTGACCATTTTGCTAGGATTGAGTTGGCTACAACACTTTTGGGCAGTACGTAAAGATGTTTTGTTATTCAATGCGTTGTCATTTGACAAACGTAGTATAACTCTCACACACACGCACACACTCAGACACACACACACACACAGCGCGTAGTACAACAAATGTGTATTGAATTGATGTTTCAGTTATGCGAGCTGCGCTCACGTTTGTAGCGGCCGCTCTGAGTAGCTCGAGGGAACTGAATGAACAGTTGCGTTGTCGGCTGCCGTTCGAGTGGACTGAATTCGGTTTTCGATTCTGAGTGAAAATCTCGGCATTGGGCGAGTGCCGCACTCGCTCAAAACGAGTTTGCGAGCGAGCGTACGGAGCGAACAGTTCGGCATGCGTCGTCGTCGTCGCCGGCTGTCTCGCTCTCGCGCAGCAATGGTGCGCCGGGGCCCCGCCCATTTGGCTCGACGAGGGTGGGTTGCCCCGTCGCACAGTTGCACGCTTTCCGTTCATCTATGTATTTATTTGAATTCTATTTAGTTGTAGGTTTTTTGGGTTTCTTCTTCTTCGCGATGCGG